CTTTGACAAAATCTGATTTCGTTATACTAAACGGGAAAAAGATATGAATTTTTCAAAGCCAATTAAGGAAACAAATCTAAATTTATCATTTTTAAAAGTCTTATGTAAGCTTTAATCTGGATTTTTTTGGAATCTACCCAGAAAAAAATTGACGAAATAGTCCCTTATCTAAGAATTTTTCGTGGTTAATTGGAAAAATTTATTTAAATTCCTTATTTTTGCCTGTTTTTCCAAATTCGAATTGAATTAAAACAGTTTTTATGTCCAATCGGTGAGGTTTTTGCAAAATCTTGAATTTGATTGGTTGGGCACATTTGGTAATTTATTGGTCCAATTATAAGGGCCAATAATTATACATTAATAAAATTTAATTATATAAAATATTTGCACATCAAATAGTATGAGGTTTACAATGGGACGAGCAGCAAAGCCGCGAGCCCCTTTTATAAACTTTGGCAAAATCTGATTTCGTTATACTAAACGGGAAATAGGTATGAATTTTTTGAAACCAATTGAGGAAACAAATTTAAATTTATCATTTTTAAAAGTCATATGAAAGTTTTAATTTGAATTTTTTTTGAATCTACCGAGAAAAAAATTGACGAAATAGTGAAATAGTCCTTTATCTAAGAATTTTTCGTGGTTAATTGGAAAAGTTAATTTAAACTCATTATTTTTGCCTGTTTTTTACAGCAAATTTGAATTGAATTAAAACAGTTTTTTTATGGCCAATCGGTGTGGTTTTTGCAAAATCTTGAATTTGATTGGTTGGACACATTTGTTAATTTATTGGTGACTTACAAGGGCCAATAATAATCATTTCCCATTCACGTAATTACCACTAAGGTGAGAACAAACCGGTTTTTATTTCTTATTGGCCAAAATCCGACTGAAACCTAGCAACGATAAGTAACTCCACCCATTAAAAAAACGTGAATAATTATTGTATTTTGAATCGAATTTTTATAACAAATCAGCGTTTAATGTGAGTTATCTTACTCTAATTGGATCTAATTTTGCACAATGGGTGGAGCCAACCTCAGAGCCAATATGAATCATGCACTTTCGATTATTAGACCAATAAAAAGTAAAAAATCATTTAATGCGTTAAAGTTGAGTCTTAAATTTTTCGACAAGAATAATAAAAATAATTAAAATTTTTGTTTTAAAAATCGGCTTCTTTGTTTTTATTTTATTTGAAGAATAAACGTTAATTAATTTTCTTTACTGCCAAATGTCCAAACTGTCAAAATTTGACATTTTTGGAAGATTAACATAACACTGTGTTTTTAGTACATTTGTTGTGTACTAAAATTTATATTTTGCTCAATTTTTGATTCAAAAACACCGATTTGAGTCGTTTTTAGTGGTTTTAACCTTTATTTGCCAAATCTTTCAAAAAAAAAAAAAATTCAAAAGTTTATAATTCGACAGATAGATTTTTTGGTACAAAACTTAGCACAAATGGTTTTCAAACAAAAAATCATTGTTTTATTTTTTAACAGCGGTGGCTCATTTAGAATGAATTACTGCCAACATTAAAAATTTGAACCAAATCGGTTAATAAATAATGAAGTTAAAGCAATTTTTTCGTAGTTATAGTGCTAAGTTAGGCCCAAAATTTTTAAATGAGGACTTAAATGAGGATTATTTGAAGAATAAACGTTAATTGATTTTCTTTACTGTCAAATGTCCAAACTGTCAAAATTTGACATTTTTTAAAGATTTACATAACACTGTGTGTATAGTACATTTATTGCTCAATTTTTGATTCAAAAACACCGATTTGAGTCGTTTTAAGCGGTTTTAACTTTTATTAGCTAAATCTTTCAAAAAAATTCCAAAAATCCATAATTCGATTCTAGATTGATGCTTTCCATACAAGTAGTGCAAAACTTAGCACAAAAACAAAAAAGAATTCAAATTTTCAAACCAAAAATCATTGTTTTGTTTTTTTGCCAGCGATGGCTCATTTAGAATGAATTACTGCCAACATTAAAAATTTGATCCAAATCGATTAATAAATAATGAAGTTAGAGCATTTTTTTTGTAGTTATAGTGCTAAGTTAGCCCCAAAATTTTTAAATGAGGACTAAAACCGCTTGACAAATCGTCGAAAAAAAAATTCAAAAGTACATAATCCTACAGATTGGTTCTTTATGTACAATCAGTGCAAAATTTAGAATAATTTGAATCATATCAGGGCCGTAATGAACAATTTTCTGATTCAAAATGGACCAAAAAAAATCAAAAATTCAAATTCTCAAACAAAAAATTTTTTTGTGTTTTTTGCCTGCGATTCACTTAGAATGGATTACAAAAACAATAAAAATTTCAAAAAAATCGGTCAAAGATTAATGACGTTAGAATTTTTTTAGTTGGAGTACTAAGTTTCACTGTGAAAGACACATTTTCAATTTTCTATTTTGAATTTTGGATTTTGGATTTTTTTATTTATAAAATCCTCTTGCAGATGACCGGAAATGTGACGAGCAAACCGAGTTTACTTGTGAGGAAAACAAGGCCTGGGGCAGAGCACAGTGCATCCCCCGGAAATGGTTGTGTGATGGTGACCCTGACTGTGTTGATGGTGCTGATGAGAATTCGACTTTGCACCACTGTGCAACCCCCCAGCCGTGTTCCGAAGACCAATTCACATGTGCAAATGGGCGGTGTATCAACAAGGTTAGTTTTTTCACTCCTGTTGTATTTTTCTTCAAAAAAAATTCTAGGGTTGGCTTTGTGACCATGATAACGATTGTGGTGACGGTACCGATGAAGGGAAAGAATGTAACTCGAAATACAAGACATGCTCTGCGAAAGAATTCACTTGTCAGAACTTCAAATGTATCCGAAATCAGTATAGATGTGACGGAGAGGATGACTGCGGTGACCACTCTGATGAAGTTGGATGCAGTATGTTTTCGTAAATGTGATAATAAAAAAATTAAATTGTGTTTTCAGAGAAAGAAAATAACACTTGTGCCAACCCTTCGCAATTCAGATGTAACAATGGAGACTGTATTGATGGTCATTTAGTTTGTAATAAAGTATCAGACTGCGCTGATGACTCTGATGAACCTTTACATTGTAATGTTGACGAATGTGCCAAAGTTGAAATTCATCAGTGTGGTCATAAGTGTGTTGACACTTTGACTGGGTATTACTGCGAGTGCAATGCTGGATACAAGTGAGTATAGTCCGTTTTTTTTATTTATGCCCTCTATATCATCGTAACAATCGTAATTTAAGCCCAATGCTAGGAGGAAACTTTAATTTTTAACTTTAGTAGCTACTAAGTTAAAAAACTAGAATTCCTTAAAATAAATGCTGATAAAATATTTTTTATTAAGGGTAGAATAAATAAAATATAGTGCACATATACAATTTTTTCTGTTAAAACTTACAATATTTTAAATTTATAATTTTTTTATTTTTTTTTTGTTTTATTAGAAATTTTCTCGATAACTATCTATGGTAGAACTAAACTAAAAATGGATTGGAATCACCCTGTATATCTGTAACGAAGTTTATTTGACAAGTTACAGATATTTTTCAATGTAGAATAACGATCTAAATCGAGCGAAATAATAATTAATTTTGCACCAAGAAGTAAAAAATGCATTTGAGACTTACTTTTGAAAAGAAATAACGTAAATTTTGCAATTTTTAGCCTAGTTTTGGGAAATATCTTAAAACTAGCATATTTCTAAGTAAAAACCGCGATAAATCGTGGAGAGAGACGAAAATAACACATTAGTGTATTTAGACTTTCTGCTTTCTTTTTTTTTTTGGAATCTCTCAAAATTAATGAGTTTTTTAGTGATTTTTTAAACAAGTAAAAAAGTAGAAAAGTCTTTAAGTTGAGCGAACCATTTGAAAACAAATCATTTCACTCTCTTCATTATGTGATTTTTTTAACTTGTTTTGACAAATTTTTCAAAATTTACTAGTTGCTGAAAGTCACTCTTAATTTAGCTAAATAAGTAAAAATAACGCATTTTAGACCTTATTTTTTGCTCTGTTTTAGTCAAATCTTATGCAATTGATGTGTTTTGAAATGTTAATAATTGTGCGAAGTAGTCAAAAACAACACATTTGACCTAATTTTGTGATTTTCTTTCTTGTTTAACGAAACATGGTTGAAATGCGTTTACGAGTTCGGTATTATGTAAAAAACGCTTTAAATTGAGCGAATCATTGAAAAATAAAGCATTTTACACCTAATTTCTGGAAATTTCTGTTTTGTTTCTGCGAAATCCCTCGAAGTTTGTGGATCCAAAAGTGAAAAAATTTCTAAATACCACGTTTCAGGTCTGTTTTTACGATTTTCTGCTTTGTTTTTGCGAAGTCATTCGAAATTATTAGGCGAAAAACGCTCTACATATTCCATAATACGCAAAAAATAGTTCAATTTTGCGACTTGTTCCCTATTTTGACGAGTTTTTTCGAAATCAGTAAGTTTTTTAATGATTTTTTTAAGCAAATAAAAAAAGTAAAAAACGTTATAAACAAGACTTAATTTTTAAGTAAGTAAAAAAATGCATTTTAGACTCAATTTTGATTTTTGCTTTATTGTTTTGGCAAAATATTTCAAACTAGGTTCTAAGTAAAAACGCGATAAATTGTGGAAAGAGACGCAATTAATTAACGCATTTCGGCCCTATTTTGACTTTCCGCTTTGTTTTTTTTTGAAATCTCTCGAAATTAGTGAGTTTCATTTAGTGATTTTCTTAAACAAGTAAAAAACTACGAAAAACGCTCTAAATTGGGAGAAACAACCAAATTTTCTCATTTGTTTTGGAAAAATGTTGCAAAATTGTCTAAGCAATTTAGTAGTTATTGCTGAAGGACACTGAACTGATTTGAGTGATAAATGCAGCAAGGAATAGTAAAAACAACGCATTTTTGACTTCATTTTGTGATTTTTTTTGAAAACAACAATTTCACACTTAATTTCTCTTCTATTTAGTAAAATAAAAATTGGGGTATTTTATTTGGAAAAATTGAGTTATGGATATTTGAATTACTACAAACGTAACCTTAAAATTTTGGAGTTTGTTAATTTTTTTTTTAATTTGAAAACACCAAAAGAAAGATCTAAGTTTTCTCTTTCAAACACCAAAAAAACGAATTCAAAATTTTTAAAGGTGGTAGAGTTACCGATTTTTAAAGTGGAAGGTGCAGATCCAAAAATTTTTGAAAATATTTCAAAAACTGCTAAATTTGGGTATAGGGAAAGCTGATGAAAACTCTCGTAAAATAACCCGATTAATCCAAAAACGCAGTAAAAAATATACCTTTCCATTTAAAATAAGAAAGTTGAGACCGACTTCCGGTATAACCGGAAGTGCCGCCATCTTGAAAATATTTTCATTTAGGAGGACTCCCAATACTTTTAAAGTGGGGTTTAGACGGAACACTTTGTTTATAGCGTAAATCTTAACATAATGCCAATGTCTATTAGTCACTCGGAAATACACAACACAACTGAAACGAAACAATTTATTCAAATATTTTATTTTAGATTGCTCCAAGACGGCAAAGCTTGCGCCGACATCGACGAATGCGTGGAAACCCCCGGCGTATGTTCCCAATACTGTTCCAACACCCCTGGCAGTTTCTACTGCAAATGCAACGAACAATACTACGAACGCGAACCCGACGAACACACCTGCAAACGCAAAGACACCGTCGAACCCTGGATCATCTTCACCAACAAATACTACATCCGAAACATGTCAATCGACGCTGGAGTCTACAACCTCGTCCACCAAGACTTGATGAACGTAGTAGCCCTCGACTACGACATGATGGACCAAAAAATGTACTTCTGTGACGTCACAGCTAAAACAATATACCGTTCACCAATCGGAAGCCCCGAAAAAGAACCAATCATAAGACACGACTCGCATGGCCTTGAAGGCATCTCAATTGATTGGATCGGGCGGAAAATCTATTGGTTGGATCGACACTCGAAGAATTTGGACGTGTCGGAATTGGATGGTACCAACCGCAAGACACTTAAAACCAGTATTAATGACCCGAGGGCGATTGTGGTGCATCCAGGAATTGGGTATTTGTACTTCACTTCGTGGCATTTGCAGGCTTATATCGGGAAATTGGGGATGGATGGGAGCAATTTTACCACAATTTTGACATGGGAGGACGACATTGCGTGGCCTAACGCCCTCACAATTGACTTCTTCACCGATCGACTCTATTGGGCCGACGCCCATTTGGACTACATCGCCATGGCGGATTTGGACGGGAAAAACCGCCATATTGTCATTTCGGGGGCTGCAGTGCCCCATGTTTTCGCACTGTCGCTCTTCGACGACTACATCTATTGGACTGATTGGAATTTGAAAGCCATAAGTCGAGCGAATAAGTTTGATGGGACAAAATTACAAATCTTGAGAAATACTACCCATAAACCGTATGATATTCATGTGTTACACCCATTGAGACAGTTGCCCTATTCTAATCCGTGTGGGGCTAACAATGGGGGGTGCTCTCATTTGTGTTTGATAGCACCACCACATATTTCGAGCTATTTGAATATCGAATATGGGGAGGAAGGGGCCACTACGTACAAGTGCGCATGTCCGAATCAATTCTCTTTGGGCAAAGATGGGAAAACGTGTATTGCCAATTGCACGAGTGGGCAATGGCAGTGCAAGGGGCATGACGAGAAGTGCATTCCTTGGTTCTGGCAGTAAGTATAGAAATTTTTTTTTTTTTGAGAATTTGATTTTTTTTTGGACCATTTTGAATCAGAAAATTGTTCATTACGGCGCTGTTATGGTTTAAATTATATATTTTTTTTAGCCCTTATTTGTAAATTTTGGGTCTAACTTGGCACTATAACCACAAAATTGCTCTAAATTCATTATTTATTAACTAATTTTGTTCAAAATTTTAATGTTGGCAGTAATTCATTTTAAGTAAGCCACCGCTAGCAAAAAAAAACAAAAATTATCTTTTGTTTGAAGATTTGAATTCTATTTTGAATTATTTTGAACGTTTGTGCTAAATTTTGCACTAATTGACTCGAATCGGTGTTTTTGAATCAAAAATTGAGCAAAATACAAATTACAGTACACAATAAATGTACTAAAAACAGTGTTATGTAAATCTTCCAAAAATGTCAAATTTTGACAGTTTGGACATTTGGCAGTAAAGAAAATTAATAACGTTTATTCTTCAAATAATTATTTTTTAAATTGACAATAAAATCAAAGAAGACGATTTTTAAAACAAAAATTTTATTTATTTTTATTATTCTTGTCGAAAAATTTAAAACGTGTTCTGATTGGTTGGTTTTAAAAGACGTAATTGATTGGCTAAGGATCGAACAATGACACTCAACTTTAACGCATTAAATAGTTTTTTACTTTTTTTTTACTCAGTTGGGAATATAAAATTACTGTTACCAAAAAATTGACAATATTTGGACAATATTGCCATTTGGCAACAAAATAAATCGTTTTAGTGATAACAAATAAGGACTATGTTTGTAAATTTAAATTTGTTTTCTTCATTGGCTTCGAAAAAAAACTAATTTTGCAATTTCACGAATTTTCAGTTATTATACAGGCTGTACCACTGAATTGAAAAAGTCCATTAGTGACCTTTAAATGGTGAAATAAAGTATATGACATTGATAGATACTAATCTAGGACATTACCTAAAATTATTTTCAACCATACAGAATGTCCCAAAAATAAGTTACGATACAAACTTGTGGTTTTTTAAATGAAACACCGTATATTTTTGAATTTTTGGATGTAGCCTTTTGAAACAATGTTTTTACGCTAAACTATTATTAGTCGATTTCGCTTAGTTTTAGAAATAAGACGTTTTTTTGACGAAAACATGCACTTTTTAAAAAGTTATTATACAAAAACTAAGATTTTTTCTTACTTCTGCAAAGAAGAAAGAACAGAATTTAAAGCT